CTCACTGTAACACACTGCTTCTTATTGCTTAGGTACTCCTAAATGTTATAGTGTGTGTGTGTGTGTATTCTCGTAGTATTCACCTAGTTGTTCTTGCGGGGGTAGAGCTCTGCTCCGTCGGCCCGCATCTCAACTGTCAATCAATCAACTGTAACTAATCACTAACTAACCTTCCCCCCCACCACCACACTCAAACCTCCAGGAAGCAGCTCCGTAACAGCTGTCTAACTCACAGGTACCTATTTACTGCTAGGTAACACGGGCATCAGGGCGAAAGAAACTTTGACCCATTTGTTTCTGCCTGGTCCGGGAATCGAACCCGGGCTACAGAATTACGAGTCCTGCACGCTGTCTGATTAGCAACCAGACCCCTGTGTGCACTCACCTATTTGTGCATGCGGGGGTTGAGCTCTGGCTCTTTGGTCCCGCCTCTCAACCGTCAATCAACAGGTGTACAGGTTCCTGAGCCTACTGGGCTCTATCATCTCTACACTTGAAGCTGTGTATGGAGTCAGCCTCCACCACATCATTTCCTAATGCATTCCATTTGTCTACTACTCTGACACTGAAAAAAATCTTTCTAACGTCTCTATGGCTCATTTGGGCATTCAGTTTCCACCTGTGTCCCCTAGTGCGTGTGCCTCTTGTGTTAAATAGTCTGTGCTTATCTACCCTATCAATTCCTCTGAGAATCTTGTATGTGGGTGATCATGTCCCCTCTAACTCTTCTGTTTCCCAGTGACGTGCGGTTTAATTCCCGTAGTCTCTCCTCGTAGCTCATACCCCTCAGTTCGGGTACTAGTCTGGTGGCAAACCTTTGAACCTTTTCCAGTTTAGTCTTATGCTTGACTAGATATGGACTCCATTCTGGAGCCGCATACTCCAGGATTGGTCTGACATATGTGGTATATAATGTTCTGAAAGATTCCTTACACAGGTTTCTAAAGGCCGTTCTTATGTTAGCCAACCTGGCATATGCTGCTGATGTTATCCTCTTGATATGAGCTTCAGGGGACAGGTCTGGCGTGATATCAACCCCGGGTCTTTCTCTCTCTCTGACTCTTGAAGTATTTCATCTCCCAAATGATATCTTGTATCTGGTTTCCTGTTCCCTACACCTATCTTCATTACATTACATTTGTTTGGGTTAAACTCTAACAACCATTTGTTCGACCATTCCTACAGCTTGTCCAGGTCTTCTTGAAGCCTCAAGCTGTCCTCCTCTGTTTTAATTCTTCTCATAATTTTGGCGTCGTCAGCAAACATTGAGAGGAATGAGTCTATACCCTCTGGGAGATCATTTACGTTTATCATAAACAGAACAGGTCCGAGTACAGAGCCCTGTGGGACTCCACTGGTGACTTCACGCCAATCTGAGGTCTCACCCCTCACTGTAACTCTCTGCTTCCTAGTGCTTAGGTATTCCTTTATCCACTGGAGCGCCCTACCAGTTACTCCTGCCTGTTTCTCCAGCTTATGCATCAGCCTTTTATGAGGTATTGTGTGAAAGGCTTTCCGACAGTCCAAAAAAATGCAGTCCTTCCATCCTTCTCTTTCTTGCTTAATCTTTGGTCTTTGGTCTAATCTTAATCTTGCCTAATCTTTGCTTAATCTTAATCTGTGTGTGTGTGTGTGTGTGTGTGTGTGTGTGTGTGTGTGTGTGTGTGTGTGTGTGTGTGTGTGTGTGTGTGTGTGTGTGTGTGTGTGTGTGTGTGTGTGTGTGTGTGTGCTCACCTAATCTAACTGTACTCACCTAATTGTGTCTGCAGATCGAGCATTGACTCTTGGATCCCGCCTTTCGAGCATCGGTTGATTACAGCAAGGACTATGGTCCTATTTCTCTATCATACCTAGTTTTAAAATTATGAATAGTATTTGCTTCCACAACCAGCTCCTTAAGTGCATTCCATTTTCCCACTACTCTCACGCTAAAAGAAAACTTCCTAACATCTCTGTGACTCCTCTGAGTTTCCAGCTTCCACCCATGTCCCCTCGTTCAGTTACAATTCCGTGTGAACATTTCGTCTATGTCCACTCTGTCAAACCCCCTGAGTATTTTATACGTTCCTATCATGTCCCCCTTCTCCCTTCTTTCTAGTGTCGTAAGGCACAGTTCCCTCAGGCGCTCCTCATACCCCATCCCTCGTAACTCTGGGACGAGTCTTGTTGCAAACCTCTGAACTTTTTCCAGTTTCCTTATATGCTTCAGATGGGGACTCCATGATGAGGCGGCATGCTCTAAGACTAGCCTCACGTAGGCAGTGTAAAGCGCCCTAAAAGCCTCCTTATTTAGGTTTCTGAATGTTGTTCTAACTTTTGCTAGTGTAGAGTACGCTGCTGACGTTATCCTATTTATATGTGCTTTAGGAGATAGATTAGGTGTTATGTCCACGCCCAGGTCTCTTTCACGCGTCGTCACAGGTAGGCTGTTCCCCTTCATTGTGTACTGTCCCTTTGGTCTCCTATCTCCTAGTCCCATTTCCATAACTTTATATTTGCTGGTGTTGAACTCCAATAGCCATTTCTATGACCATCTCTGCAACCTGTTCAGGTCCTCTTGGAGGATCCTGCAATCCTCATCTGTCACAACTCTTTTCATCAACTTTGCGTCATCTGCGAACATCGACATGTAGGATTCTACTCCTGTAAACATGTCGTTAACATATACAAGAAATAGAATTGGTCCCAGCACCGATCCTTGTGGTACTCCACTTGTTACTGTTCGCCAGTCCGACTTCTCGCCCCTTACCGTAACTCTTTGGCTCCTTCCTGTTAGGTAGTTCCTAGGGCCTTTCCTTCCACCCCCGCCTGCCTTTCGAGTTTGAACAGCAGTCTGATGTGCGGTACTGTATCAAAGGCTTTTTGGCAGTTCAGAAATATGCAGTCTGCCTATGTGTGTGTGTCTGTGTGTGTGTATTCACCTAGTTGTATTCACCTAGTTGTGTTTGCGGGGGTTGAGCTTTGCTCTTTCGGCCCGCCTCTCAACTGTCAATCAACTGTTTACTAACTACTTTTTTTCAACACCACACACACACACACACACACCAGGAAGCAGCCCGTGACAGCTGACTAACTCCCAGGTACCTATAGGGAGCCGGTCGGCCGAGCGGACAGCACGCTGGACTTGTGATCCTGTGGTCCTGGGTTCGATCCCAGGTGCCGGCGAGAATAATTGAGCAGAGTTTCTTTCACCCTATGCCCCTGTTACCTAGCAGTAAAATAGGTACCTGGGTGTTAGTCAGTTGTCACGGGCTGCTTCCTGGGGGTGGAGGCCTGGTCGAGGACCAGGCCGCGGGGACACTAAAAAAAAAAAAAGCCCTGAAATCATCTCAAGATAACCTCAAGAGATACCTATTTAGTGCTAGGTAACAGGGGCATTCAGGTTGAAAGAAACTTTGCGCATTTGTTTCTGCCTGGTGCGGGAATCGAACCCGCGCCACAGAATTACGAGTCCTGCGCGCTATCCACCAGGCTACCAGGCACCCTAGTCTGGTGTGTGTTTGTGTGTAATTACCTAAGTGTAGTTACAGGATGAGAGCTACGCTCGTGGTGTCCCGTCTTCCCAGCACTCTGTCATATAACTTTATGACTTTCAATAACTTTGAAACTACTGACAGTCTTGGCCTCCACCACCTTCTCACCTAACTTGTTCCAACCGTCTACCACTCTTTTTGCGAAAGTGAATTTTCTTATATATCTTCGGCATCTGTGTTTAGCTAGTTTAAATCTATGACCTCTTGTTCCCAAAGTTCCAGGTCTCAGGAAATCTTCCCTATCGATTTTATCAATTCCTGATACTATTTTGTATGTAGTGATCATATCAACTCTTTTTCTTCTGTCTTCTAGTTTTGGCATATTTAATGCCTCTAACCTCTCCTCGTAGCTCTTGCCCTTCAGTTCTGGGAGCCACTTAGTAGCGTGTTTTTGCACCTTTTCCAGTTTGTTGATGTGCTTCTTAAGATGTGTGTGTGTGTGTGTGTGTGTGTGTGTGTGTGTGTGTGTGTGTGTGTGTGTGTGTGTGTGTGTGTGTGTGTGTGTGTGTGTGTGTGTGTGTGTGTGTGTGTACTCAATTGTACTTGCGGGGGTTGAGCTTCTGCTCTTTGGTCCCGCCTCTCAACTAGTATACAAGTTCCTGAGCCTATAGGGCATTATCGTAACTACATTTAAATCTGTATATGACTCGTTATTAACTACTCAAGGCCATACTCGCCTGATCATGATAATTATGCTCGCCATTTCTTTCCCCACGGCTCAGTGGTCACTGGTCACTGCACTGACCAGTGAACAAATGTTTACTGCAGTGTACCTTTACTTTACTGCAGCCTCGCCTTGTTGTACGTTAGACTTAAGCAGCATCTTAAGTTCCTTATTCATAGGGTTAACATTTTACTAATTACAGAGATTAACTACAAATTTATGCAAGTAAATTTGTTATAAAACACGTCTAGTGTGCACAGCTGTTTGACCACTCAACAAAGTGATTTAGGCCTACTGGATTGTATCGTGATACTGCTTGTGCCAATGTCATAGTTTTGCGATGCCAGATAATGCAGGCCTACAATAACGCTATCAGTAGTAATTTGTTGGTATATATGTATAACTATACACAAAAGCGTCATAACTATATTTTTATAAATGCAAGGTAGCTATTAGCTGCGCGCGCATACCCCGGCCATGACAGGAATATGTAAATACTGAAACTTATCTATATGTATAGTGTTTTGTTTACATTGGTGAAGAGTCGTCCATTGGGAACCAATCACAGGGCTCTGGTCAAGATGGAGGCGGAGCGTAGCGACAGTGGGCGGAGCTCATGTCTCCTACACCCAATCACCTACCGTGGAAAACACGTAAGGCGGGGTCAGCACGTCTTTATCCAATCAGATCCGTCTCTTGAGATTCTTTATTAGGCAACGGTGTTTGTGATGCTGGCGGAGCTTAAGCGAAATGCGTTTTTAATCACCTCGACTCGTGGTGGACTGCTCATTATCGTCCGGTAGTTTACAGTGTGTGTTTGATGCCTCGCCATCGAAGTTAAAGGGAGTGACAAATTTATCCTAGATTGTGAGTGCGATGCTTACAGCTTGACGTAAATGAAATACGAACATTACAGCAATGTTAGATGATATATGAGCAGCTCTACGCACGTGTTCTGGACCCCTGTATCGCTCGTCTGCTGGAGGTGAATTACCAAGAGTTGAAACTTGCTCATGTTGACGGAAGTTATGACGGAGGTGGAGAAGATGGACCTGCGGTTGCCTGCTCGTGGCCCCGCCGCTACCAAATGTAAGTCACCAGAAATTTCCTAACCATGTGGACTGATCACTACTGCGACGACCTCGCTGGTTGGCGTTCGATTCCCGATGGTCCGAGAGGTTGAGCACGGTTTCTTCACTGTCCTCGTCTCTCTTCCACCTGCTACCTAGTCGTTCTGGCTTCGCACCCTCTCCTGATAACTTTCTTTCCTTTTTAAAATATTTCCTGCTAAGATCCACCAGTTGTTAGTGAGACAAGCTGAGCCAGGATGCAACCCGAATTTCCACAACTTACAAAGCCTATATATATCTTTCCTCAATATTTGCTGGCTTCCTTTAAGAAGAACATAAGAATAAAGGTAACAGAAGGCCTATTGGCCCATACGAGGCAGTTCCTCTTTACATCCACCCAATAAAGGCTCATTTATTGAACAATTTACATTTGTTAAACAGTTTAACAACATTTCATTGGAAGTTTCGATGCTCGTATTGTTTTAAACACCATTCTATAGTGCTCCGCAGCTCATAAACTTTATTGGGTAAACAAAGCCACCAAAGATAGAGAAAAGATGTAGAGGTTCGTCAGTAGTTGGCAATACTTGTGCCTGTGATGTGATTGTATTGTTGTAAACGCTCAGCCTCTCATCAAGGTGACGCTAGGCGACATGTCGAGGAGGAATTAATGGTTCATTTATTTTTGTGTTATGGAAAATGTATTCAAACTATGAAAATGCAATTTAGAGTAATTTATTTCTAAAATAATATAAATTCAATTTATAATATATATGAGTGTACCTTTACTGCCTTGTTTCTTTCTTGCATTTGTCCTTTACTGAAGTGTACCTTTATTGCAGTGTACCTTTATTGCAGTGTACCTTTATTGCAGTGTACCTTTACTGCAGTGTTCCTTTACTGAAGTGTACCTTTACTGCAGTGTGCCTTTACTGCAGTGTACCTTTACTGAAGTGTACCTTTATTGCAGTGTACCTTTATTGCAGTGTACCTTTACTGAAGTGTACTTTTACTGAAGTGTTTCTTTACTGCAGTGTACCTTTACTGCAGTGTACCTTTACTGCAGTGTACCTTTACTGAAGTGTACCTTTACTGCAGTTACTGTGTTAACGCTGCCTCATCAGGCGGGGCCGTGACATACCCACTGACTGATGACCAACATGTTGACTGGTCTGCGGGTAACTCCGCCAGTCATCACCTCTGCTCCTACCTCGAGTTTACCCTCAACCTGATTTGGGTTGTAATTAATTCTGCGGGTCACGTGACGCCCACCTGGGCGCCACGTGTGGGACATTACCTCCAGGCTTGTGATGATTATGACCGTTGATTAGAGCAGCAGGGCAAAGGTCTGGGACCAACAACTGCTGGAGAATCGCCTCACCAGTCCCCCTGGCTTCACCAGCCCTAGGCTTCACCAGCCCTCTGGCTTCACCAGCCCTAGGCTTCACCAGCCCCCCTGGCTTCACCAGCCCTCTGGCTTTACCAACCCTAGGCGTCACCAGCCCTAGGCTTCACCAGCCCTAGGCTTCACCAGCCCCCCTGGCTTCACCAGCCCTCTGGCTTTACCAACCCTAGGCGTCACCAGCCCTAGGCTTCACCAGCCCCCTGACTTCACAAGCCCCCTGGCTTCACCAGCCCCCCTGGCTTTACCAGCCCTAGGCTTCACCAGCCCTAGGCTTTACCAGCCCCCTGGCTTCACCAGCCCCCTGGCTTCACCAGCCCCCTGGCTTTACCAGCCCCCCTGGCTTTACCAGCCCTAGGCTTCACCAGCCCACTGGCTTCACAAGCCCCCTGGCTTCACCAGCCCCCTGGCTTCACCAGCCCCCTGGCTTCACAAGCCCCCTGGCTTCACAAGCCCCCTGGCTTCACCAGCCCCCTGGCTTCACAAGCCCCCTGGCTTCACTAGCCTCCCCTGGCTTCACCAGCCCCCCTGGCGTCACCAGCCCTAGGCTTCACCAGCCCCCTGACTTCACAAGCCCCCTGGCTTCACCAGCCCCCCTGGCTTTACCAGCCCTAGGCTTCACCAGCCCTAGGCTTCACCAGCCCCCTGGCTTCACAAGCCCCCTGGCTTCACAAGCCCCCTGGCTTCACCAGCCCCCTGGCTTCACAAGCCCCCTGGCTTCACCAGCCCCCCTGGCTTCACCAGCCCCCCTGGCTTCACCAGCCCCTTGGCTTCACCAGCCCCCTGGCTTCACCAGCCCCCTGGCTTCACAA